TATGTTATTACCTGCCGGAATAGCCGCTGCCCAGGATGGGGATGCATATCATAAAACAGGCCTGATATTCATTATGAAGGGTCCAGATTTTCTCGATAACCAAAGTAAGGGCTAGGATTGATGTATTACTATGCAGGCTCTATTAATTACATACTTGGTGTCAATCAACAAAGTATACAGTTTTTGTTGATTCAAAAGCAGAGTATGAATCTTAAATGGATTGTATACTCTAATCAATAGAGTATGTAATCCATTTAAGATTGTGGCTAAGGATAACTTCCAGATACTTTTGGCTTTGGTTACTCTCGGTGGTATCTCTTTATTAAAAAATTTAAGTTTTTTCTGTATTTCACGCTTGGTCTTGTGCTGTCTACTACAAGCAGCTGACTTTCATTCATTGGTATCTTTTTCTTTCATTAACTGATATCCTTCATTTTTGGCAACACTTTAAAATTTAATAAAATTTGACCGGCAATTTTTTAATTGCTTGGTTTGGTGAAAATGAATTTACCGCAACTATGGTATTGTCTGCATAGCAGGCCAAGATCTCATCGTAGTCATTTCCTGGGTTAGGAAAAATCCGCTAAAAAGAAGAGGTAAATCACAGAAGCAAGACAGGAGCCTTGCGGAACTACTGCACAGCAGTTCTTCAAGGAAGTCTATGTTGAGCCTTGTCTTACTGCGAAGGTGCGCTCTTCGAGGAAAGACTTAAGAATGAGAATCATTCTCTGCTAAAATTCAGAGATAGCACATACCTTGTAAATTAGTCTTTTATGACAGACGCGGTCGAACGCATTTGCAACTTCTATTATGAGAAGCGCAGTACACCAGGAAAGCATAACTGCGTGAGGCGTGTATTCAATATCTCATTAACTTTCTGAAAGCATTCCTTGGTAAATTACAAAGCATATTGTTCGTAATTCCATCCTCGCCTAGAGTTAACCTTATATAGAGCTTCCTAAAAATTTCTTGGATTTCTACCGTAGTCGGGAGCTTGACATTGTTAGCTAAAGGCGAGTTGAACTAGTCACCAACGTACGTACTCACATGCTCGATAAAGGCCGGGTAAGCAGGAGCGGAACTGAGAATAAATTGTATATCCAGGGTAACTTCGCTAAACTTTCTGCTTTTTCTTCATCGGTATATGCTATATGGTTTGCAAAGTAAAGAGACTTCCCACAAATCAGGCTCCTTTTGAGAAGCTTTTGCGAATTTCCAAAGTCATAAGAAAGTTTTAGTCCAGTTCTCCGTTTTTATGGCGTAACTAGTGCGCATGATTTACATGTTCTATGAAAGTCTACGCAGGGATCAAATCTCAAGCTTAGCTTCATACTTCATTCATGGTGCTAAATTTTGAATGGCCAGTAATAAAATAAAACCAAATATAAATGTTTTTATATGGTTCCTAAATCTTAGATCTCAGATGTAAAGTTTAAATTTTGCATTACTGTATATGCTTACAGCGTCTGATATACATCCTGCATCAGAGGATCTAGACTTTGTATAGAAGTAAAATTAAAGACCTTTACTTAAGTGATTTCAAATCATAAATAAAAATGAGTTTGCTTACTTAAAAATGTTAGACTGATGAAATGGTTTCTAGTCAATAAATTTTTACGTATTAAGTACAAGTGGACATAAACCGTGCTAAATTCTATACCATAAAAACGTTAAAAAAATTTAAGTATTATAGAATTATATAAATATAGGCTATATAAATAACACAGATTTTGATGTTAGTTAATACGCAAATTTCTTTTTAAGAATCTTAGAATACTTTTTAATTAAAGATAGAACATTTGAATCTTTGAATGTCAAGAATCTTGAAAAAATTTCAAGATTCCAAAACTCGCGGCTTTTTTTTTTTTTTTTTTTAAGATTCGAATGTTTGGAATCATAACCTAAAATATTTTTAAAAGGTTTTTAATTCAACATTTGGAAAGCTTTGTTTTACTGATGTCTAACAGAAGTATTTATTAAAATACCTGCACAAAATTTACCGCAGTTTCTTTCACTGCAGGCAAATCCCACAAACGCATACTTTAAAATTGAATTTAACGTAAACAATATCGTGATTTGTTTCAAAACGCCGTTTGAATGTGAATACAGCAAAACGCATAAGAAAATAAAATGTTGCTTATTATAACTGAGAAATTATTATGCGCATAGTTGGAGCATTTTGAAATTTTGGCGACGTCTACTATGGTTGTAAGAGCTGTGTGGATTCCAATTACTTAACTAATACAACTTGAATAAGGTGTTGCTTCTGATCTGTGCAGTGATCACCACCAAAATAGCTAACCATCAAGCAAACAGACAACAGAATTAAAACACTTTACGTTTATTGTATCTCACCATTAGTGGGTGCTTAAATAAAAATATACAGAATAAAATTATCTCTAGATCTGGTCTCAACACACAGCTTCTTTTTACGAATGATATAAATTCAATAATTTAAACGTAATCTACGCAGAGAGTACAAGATTACCTAGTTCGCAACATAATTTCGAGCATATATATTTACCAAACAGGGTCAAGCCTCCGTAATCCCAACAAGAAAAGCTTTATTTTGGCTGACAGTCTTTCTGCTATAGGCAAGGCAGCGGCAGCAGGTCAGATCCTCTACATTCCTAATCGTAAAATTCTATAACTGCATAGTAAAACTGCTTTCCACTCAAAATCTACATACACTCTTAAATAAGCGAACCTCGTGGCGAAAAGAAGCAGAAAGAAAAGAATTAAATTAAACTAATATTTCGGTAGTAAAACATAAAGATAAAGGCACAAGATGGCTGTGTTGACTAATTAATTTACCAGAAATCCATAAAGCAGTAGTTGTGATGATGATATATACAAACGAGAGTTAGTGTTATTACTAACAAGCCACTGCATGCAGAAACCAGTCCAAGGAAAATACCGTGGTGCCAAAAGGTGTATTCATTACTACCAAATCCATATAATTAGATTTAGGTTATTTGAATATGGCAAAGTACGCCAGAGTTAGCATACTAGGAGCCATACAGAAAAGAATTTATAAAAAAATATGTACATGAAGAAATTATAAATGTAAGTGAGAATTTTAATAATGTGATCCGCAGACAACACCCGAAAGACGTTTCCGTTTGCAGTGAAATTCTCTCCACATATGGTTACTCAGTATAATGATGAATTTCAGGGTTTTCTGTAAGTTTTAGCACAGTTAAACATAGAAAATTTACGATTTTTTTGCACTGAAGGGATGCAAAGAGTTAGATAATATCTGCATACGTAGTTCTACACAGTACGCTACTCCTATTGCAGAAATACAGATGTTTTGAAAGCAATAAAGAAAAGAAGTTGCCCCCCTCTTATAGCACAGATGGAAAAAGTTATAAATTGACGGCATTTTAAAATTTAAATTTGAACTCGCGTGTGTATAGCTCGTGTAACTTTCAACTCATGTTTGAAGTGCGATATACGGTTAGTATGTTTTTCCCCGCAAAACGTACTTCTTATATTTTACCCTTATGCGAAACATCTTAGCATAAACAATCATGCTCCACATAACTTGAGGTTTTTCATGAAAACTATATCAGAGTTTAAGAACAGGAAGAATCACTTATTGTAGACGTTTTACTTTTTGTATTATTAATAATGTAAACTAGAATTCCTCTAACTTTTTTTATCTTTGTATTTGTCATAAGTTAATATTTTTTAACTACATTATGATAAAGAAAATGGTTCATTCTTTAAAACAGGATATAAGGCACTATGGTGCAATTCACAGAATAAAAATAGCTAGATTTAAGTTACCATGTTTCGCAGATAAAAATTTTTTTATCTATTTTTTGATTAAAAAATTAAAAAAAAAAACTCAATACACATATATAAGAAAAATTTAACTTTAATTTGAAACAGTCCCTTTTCTCTCTTTTAATTTAGTTATTCCCCGATTCAATCCTTTAAATAGTAACTGTTTATGATAAATATCTCTAAGCTCCATCATTTCAAAATTAATCGTTCTCGCATAATTTTTGCATTCTGCTAATGATATAGATACTTAGATAACATTTCAGCCAACAGTAATTTCAAATTTAGGAATTAAACTTTAAATTAATCAATAAAAATAAAACAATCGAAACTGATTTATTCTGAATCGGGTTTTCATCTTAGATGCGTCGCATTCAGTTTCTCCCTAGTTCTTCTGTCAAACAAGCTTTTAATTTACTCCTCATTCCTCCGTCGAAATAAATCGTTACGAAGAGATATAGAAAAACGCAAATGTGAAGAGAAACGGACGAGCAGATTGCCTCTATTGCACTAAATAATTCAAGTTAAGAATGTACTTTTTAAGGTGTCAAATCAGCCTGACTGTTAACATCTTTTAATTACCAAGCTCTATTCACTTCATAACTGATTTTTTTTTTTTTTTTTTTTTTTTTTTTTTTTCGTTATCAACTTCTAAATTGGTATTACATATAGATATTTTTCTATTCCATTCCAAATTTTTAATGATGTTACAACATAAAAAGGGAAAAAAAACAGTAATTTCAAAAATTTATCTCAAAAAAACTTTAGAAAAATTATCCTCGAATTACCCATATTGCACATAATGAAATTTCTCAAAATCTTGACATTGACAATTAGCATTGCTTTTATCAATAATGCATGCATTTATAGATTTAATATATTCATTACTAGATGTATTACCATGATTGAATAATAAATAGCTGTTAGGTAATTCATTAAATATCATCTTTTTAAGCATATGATTAATTCGAATTTTTATTTAAAAAAAAAAACTCGTTTTCCCGTTCTTCCTCTCATGAAATAAACTAATGCAAATAATAATTTCAGAAATACCTCACAGACCCAAAGCGACGGCATGTGCATGATTTACCCAAAAATACTTTAAAGAAATGTTGAAATATTATCTTTTATATATTAGTAAACATATAACGAGTATAAAAATCATTTGTGTTTAGAGAACAATGTTGCAAACAAAGTCTTTTATTTCTTAGGTGGCGGTTATACAATGACAGATGTAACAATGGAAGAACTTGCAGCTGAAGGTAGGATTCTTTAATCTCATTATTTTTTTGAATCATCTGCTTATAAATTATTTTATATTCACGGAAAAGTCAAAATGTTGTAAAAAGATATCGCTTAACCTTCAGAAGTTATTATTTTAGAATCTGGAGTTTACCACAGGTGTACACTGAAAGGCAGAACTGATGCCATTAATTACAGCTGATGAAAATATAAATATGCATAGTTAAGAGCAGTATACAAGAAAGGAAGAATCTGCTAAATTAAACTGTTGCGGTATTTTTATGAAGTAATTAAAATTTTAGACTGTTTATATATTCGTAGTATTGGTAGGTTCTCGATGATTCTTCAAATATAAAGCAAATGATAATTTAATCAGATGATCAGTGATAGTAAATTAAATATTCTAGCATTTAAAGTCTGAATAATTATAATGGCAAAAAATATTTAATTATTTTTTAACGCATATCTTAAAGTAGCAAAACTCTAACAAAAGCATTTTTATGACACCTTGCATTTTCAACCGCTCGCGCGTATAGGGATCCCATAAAAGAATAAAAAACGATTTATTTGCAACAACAGCATCATTCCTTTTAACTGCGCTAGCGTAGGATAAAAATGAATAGGGAGTGAGCACAAGTGAAGAGGCGGGCAGATGGATGGGAAGTTTACCTCCGCATTTTGAAGTGCTTCTCAACTCCTGGAAATCGCCTTCCTGAACACAAAAATAGCAACCACATGAGACAGAAAACCTACATTCGCTCTCAACATCCGTCGCAAATCGACTCACTCTTTCCCCATTCGAGAAAATACAACCGCGAAAAGATCGTTTACCTAGCCGTGACTATAATAGATGAAATATCATTCAAAGCCTTGTGAACGCTCTGAAATGAAACCATTGCAGATTTGCCAGATATTTAGTTAAAAATTTATCTCAATGAATTGTATTATACAATTACCGAAATTTCAGCAGAAAAGTTATTTAATTTGCAAAGTATAAAATTCTCTATGAAAAACTAACGCTATTGCAAATTTTTTATTATTCGATCTAATATTTATTTTCGTTTACTGATGCTCTGAAGGTTAAAACTAGCGATTAGCTAATCAATCCACTCAACTATTGTTCTGTTCGGTAATTGATCATGAAACCAAATGTGCATGCTTTTAAACAACAGCACTGGAATTATATCTTATAAAAATACAGGATTGGAATTGAATGTTATTTTTATGCGCTTCCTACTCACTTTGTAATGAAAGTATTCAATAGATATAGTGGACTCTCCTTGTTTACCCATGCATAACTGTCACAATTAGACAAAGTAAATTATTACAGAAAGTCTCTTCTGCTCTTTCAAACTTGAATTTTAAATCACTGTAAATTTCTTAAAACTCTAATTGCTATCTTCATAATATTTATAAAGTTTTACGGCAGTTTTATATACGTATGCAGTATTTCTATTTTGTTTTCAGTAATATTATAATGAGTTTGATTTCGATTACTTTTGCCATAAAAGTTAAGCTTTTACCTTTGTTCAGCTTAGCACCATATATTTTTTTCTTTTTCTTTTCTCCTTTTTACTACCTTTTCCAATACTGTAAATTATTTTCTATTCTAAAATCACCAAAATTCTGAATGAAAGGTCATCCATACCCTCTTCTTGGTGTAAATCATTTATTTTTATTATTTAATAAAAAAGGAAGTGTTTACTTTGAAAAATTTGATTTTTCTCAAGAATATTTTCAGCTTTTAACTGATTTTTTTTTATTTCAGTCAGTAAAAGATAAATTTTCTGAAGCCCAAACCATATTTTTCATAATATAGATCCCAGAGCAAATCATAGGGTATTCATTATGGCGATGCAGTATGGAAAATTAAAATTCCTAGATTTACATGTTAAGCAAATTAGAAAGCATTAACCCATCTTTTGACGACATGTTAAGTCTTTATCTTTGGGAAAACATGCGGATAGATTCTGGTAGGGTATCAGTCATACAAATGGACTTAGTTGGCATTAGATAATAATTGATTTTCACGATATACAAGGTATGAATGATCTTCCATTAAGGATTTAAAGTGATGTTAGGTAAAATTGTAGGGGGAAGATTTTAAAGCTGATAAGGTAAAATCACAAAGTGATGACTATCAAGAAATAAAATTTTGCAATTTAAAGACTAATTAAAAAAAAAGAAAAAAACATGTATGAAACAGACAATGAAATTTTTATAACGCAAAATAAGTGTATTCATTTCCATATATCAAATTTAAAGCAATTACAGAGGAAGGAAGAGGCTCGAGTCTAATAAATAATGGCTTGAACATATGCCATCTGTTGAACAATAATATTATTAAAGAAAGGTACAACAGTAAACACAAAAACGTGTTAAATTATAAATTAAAAAATACGATAAATAACTTAAATTTAAGACAATGTGAAATATTACGGTTGAATTATATAAACTTCACTGAAAAAGAAAATGAAACAACATTATAGTATTAATATATGGCATTAGAAAGTACCTGTTATAAATTACAGTACTGAAGAAAATTTTTATAAACGTTATAAATTAGCTTTATCATAAATCACATGAATTTGTTGAATTATAAATAACCTCAGTTAGAGTTATAATTAACACGACTATCTCTGAATCTCGTGACGGCCGTCACACTTGGCCCACACACCGTGCAAAGTGTCGTTCAGCAGAGTATCGTACTACGTCTGAAAGCCATTCGCAGGAATGAAGGCTGTCACTCTACTGCTGAATTTTTATTTAATTTATTATTTTTAGATCGCCCTGTATTTTATGCATAATATTACAATGTATAGGTAGAGATTTATCTTTCCATCTGATCATTAACAGATATGCAAAGTACAGATATATGCTTTGTTCACATACTGAGTTCAGTACCACTCATTAAATACAAATAGCCTAGAATAAAGCAGTTTCCTTTCAACATGATTTCACTTGGACATGACCAGAAAGCTGATGAATCCCTCTTGTAAGATGGTATCACTGAGACAGATCTCGCTGTGACATGGACTCTGTGTATAAGTACAGCCTGGTCTGCCGCAGTCTTAAAATGGTTTTTAAACTGTTTTTTACAAAATGAATGAATTATATAAAAGCAGAAAAAAGTCTAGATTAAACATTTTTTGCTATAAATAATGCATTAAGTCATATGAAAGATTTCAACTATATAAATAATAAACTATTTTTAAAAACATAACATAAAAACTTCACTGTAAGCTTTTATACTATGCATCATGTAATTTATATTATATAATCATTACATCAAAGAGTATGGGGATGAAAAATGAAAAATTATCTCGGAATAAGTCAATACCACACCTTTGTCATTCAAACAAGTGAAGACGTCAGACATGATTAAATGTCCAAATGCGGTTCTTTCGCCTTACCAGCATTGCAAGTGTCCCATGTTGCACAGATACTATACATTGATAAACATCCATGCTTTCTATCCCTGTCTACCACATCGACGATTCCTTGATTCGAACGCGTAGTGTGGTAGTCACAGTCACTAACCCCTATACTAATCATCGTAGGATTTCTTCATTTTTCTGGTACTACCAAAGTTTGGTCGCGTCACAAAAGTGCTTCGAAAATCGCACTAATTATTCCTTGTTCAAAATTCCTTATAATGTGTTCGGATTCCAGTCAGATTTTTCTTTAAAGCTTGAAAGATTTTGTTATAAAGCTTCTTCTCTCTATCGAGCATCAGAGCAGGCTATTATCACCCCTCTGTCTTCGCCCGTTGAGTTACCCAAGGGGGACTATTGAGGTTCGTAATGTTGAGCTACACAAGCTGCAAGGGATGCAACTGATAACATTATGTGCAGCTATATTTCAATATTTCATTCATGAAATAATTTGTGCTATATTTCGAAATATGCCTTTCCTTTATACCACTAAAGATGAGAACCCCGTGAATTTCTTTGCTATCATTTAAAAGAAAACTAGTAAAATCGGTAGAAACAATTAAATCATTAGCGCTGTGTGATTACAACGTAGTATTTTCAGCTTTACTCATCAAACAGCCCATTGATATAATCTTTAAAACTTTTGTTATTGAAGCATTTTCTTCTATAACTTGTTTATGATGCATTCGACAAATGAACTTCTTTTCGGATATGTTAGAACTAAAATATATGTTCTATACTTATAAAAACAGCTTCATTTTGCGTCGCCATCCACCTCTGCATTTTTTCGTTTTGGTTTCATTACACATGGCACTTGAAAATTTCCATTAACACGAAAGTGCTAATATTAAGCGCTTACGGACTGCACATTTGTTTCCCTTTAGATGTTGCAATAAATATTAAATCACCTTTATATATAAATAAATATTCATATATGATATATTATATTCATAGATGACATATTATATTCAGCATATATATGACATATTATATTCATACATGACATTCATATGTGACATATCATATTCATATATAACATTCATATACGACAAATATTCATATAATATTCACATATGGGGATAAAATTACATCTATAAATATGAAATTTATTTTCATTTCTTTCAAAAATGCATGTTCGAAAAACACCCATTAGAACAAGAATGGACACTATTAAAAAATTACCTGGGTTACGATAAGTTGAATGATCTCTTCTGATCGGCTGTGCGGAAATGTTATCCCTGATTGTTGGAAAATTTCAGGCATTGCCACCAATGAAGTGTGGAAGTACTATTTCTCCGGAAACATTCTCCAAAAGACCGACTGCAAAATTTTTCAATTCGTGTCCACTATCACCTGTCATATTTGAATCTAACGGAAAAGTTGTGGCAATATATAGATTGCAAGTCTTTCTTTCTCTCTTTCTCTCTTTATATATATTAATTTTATTCAAACTGTAATAATCTACTTGAATATTTTGCCTATATCATTTTACGTCCCTAAAAATATTCAGCTTTTAGAATTGAAAATCTTTAGAAGTTGAGTTTTAAATTCATTCAGCAATACAGATGAGTTGGAATTTTAACGTT